TTCCTTACTAGTCTGTTAAAAAGAAATCAGAGTTTTCCGTAGGACTATAGGGACTGCCTAGGGAAGCCTTGGAACTTCTTGTCTTCTGCACAAAGGAAACCACAAATTCTGAAGCATTTTAGTAGTGTTAGTAGCTAATGTCCAGGGTAACACAATACACACAAGTTAAGATCCATCTAATGCTTGCTGGCAACACTTTTTTCTTTTTTTCCTTTTTCTTTTTTTAAACAGTAAGACTCTTACAAAGCCTGACTTACTGGAAGCAGACTGAGAACCCTCTAACTCAAAAATGTCAATAACATTCCCAGCTTCCAATCACATATTTAAGAACAGCTCAAGCTAAAAAACAAAACAACAGAACAAAAAAACCAGGCAGGAATCAAATTCTTGAGCAATTCCAAATTATCAGCCTCAAGATCAGACAGTTTTAAGTCTGACAAGTCTGACACCTTGAATTATCTCAAGGCTGAAACAACCTCTGCCCTCTTCACACCCCCTCTAAAACTTTCCAGGCTCAGAACAGTCTATGATATATGTTTAACTAATACATATGCAGGCTTTAAAATAGGCTACTTTATGGACTGCCAAGGCTAAACAGTTTCACTCCCAGACCTTGAAAATGTTTTTATTATCCAGTTATCCTCTATCAAATCTAGAGTTACAGTCCCAGAACAATTCAAAAGCAAGTTACTCTAAAATCCCTTAAATCAGTATTTGATTACAATGATAAAAAGCACAGCAAGGATATATGCAAAGTTTGCAACGTATTTAACCTAACAGTATACAGATATATGAGACAGTCTTAAAGGCAAAGACAGAAACTGAGCTGTATAAATAGCATACACACAACAACAAAAAAGATTTTAAATGGACCCTTTGTGCTAAAACAGAGTTGTGCAATTCCAGTAACAACTCTTGGGAGCTGTCAGGACTCCACTGCAGCAATGACTGCATCACTCATCACAGTGATGAGAAATGCTGCTTGTTGGAAGAACCACAAGTGTTGTTTCTGCATCCACTTTCATCACTGACAGCAAAATTATCTTCAGAGAGAAATTGGATTACCAAGAATTCAAAAGGGTCAAATTCTATTTGAACAAAACAACAGAAGAGGCAAAAAGCCCTGTTCATCAATTTGGATTTCTGTGCTTTACTTTTAAGGGCTGCTATTGTTTCTTTGCTCAATTGCAGGTTTTTGAAACATGTTGCCTTTTAATGACTCATTTCATAACAATTCATGTCAAAATATTTGTATTTTTATGCAATTATGAAAAAGCAGGTATGACTAAAAAGCCATGTCAAAATACTTTCCAAACATAAGCATACACTGGTGTATGATTTCTATACAGAAAGCATCTATGTAAAAATTAAATACAGGTTAAATAAAGGTTAGAAAATACATGAAAACAGGAAAGACTCAACACTTCTGATGCAACTTTAACAGCAAGTCAGAAATAAAGCATCTCATTCTGGCTTGATGAGCAGGTAGCATCATTTAAGTTAGAATCATTAGCTTTAAGAAAACAACAGATCAATGACCAGAATTTTCATTGAAAAAATTATTGATAGATTTCAGTATCACTTAGTCATTATTCTCTAACCACTCACAACATCACCCTGGGGACTAAGCCTGTCTTTAACACTAATACAGGTAAGCCTGACTGAGATAGACTCAATGAGATTATTTCCTCCTGAAGCCAGGCCATGCTAAGTTTCAAGCAGTTTCCAAAGAATGAGTAGACCCTATAAACACACAAAATAGTCCTACTGCAAACAGCACTATTAAGGAAGAGAAGAGGGGAACCCTCCAAGCTTCCATTTTGACATGAAAAGTAATTTCTCTACTACTCCAACTATCCAATAACTTACTCAAATATTTAGCTCAAATATGTAAATAAAACCAGAGAACTTAAAAGAGCTACAGAAGATTCTCCTTTGAAATACTTTTTCTAACTTCTGAGATAAAGATATCCAGTGAAGATCTTAGATGGAAAAAACCATTCCAGAACTCCAAAACCTAATTTTTATACTTATAATACAAACACCCTTCTATTAACCAAATGTAAACTCTTAAACATTAACCTGGAAGTTAGAGACCCTATTAACATGGAAAAAGTTCTAAGTCAGGTGATCACCTTTCCATTCCCTAATGCTTTCTCTGGCCAAAAGAAGTCAGAGTTGTTCCTCTCCCTCCCAAAATACTGTTTACACCTTCGGAATTACGCAACAGAATAATGGATGTAACCTAGGGTGAGGCACTGAAGTCTTTTGCACATCAGCAAAAGGAACTGAAGACCTGCAGTAGGATAAACAGATATGCATCTCCTTCCTAGGTGTGTGCGCAGCTACTGTCAGTACTGCAAAACCAAGCTTAGTTAAATAGGATTGGTTTTACAACCACGCTGATATTCAGACACAAAGAAGTTTAAACGTCACTGTAAAAAGAAAAAAAGTAGTTCACTGTAGCCATTTCTGTTATATGGCATACTGTGAGGTGCCAGTATTTACTTATATATACGTGCACACAAAACCCCACTAGTTTTTCAACTAATTAGTTAGTTTTGCACCTAATTAGCTGTAATTAGTTGTAATCTGCTAATTAATACAGCAGAAAGTACTGTTAAAATAGTTTCAGATGAAAATTTAAAGCAAATTTTCTAAAATAAATCCCAGTTTGTCACTAGATAGGAGATTTTTACCTTCCCCTTTCACAAAATGTGCATCTGCAGGGACTTAGTTCTCACTTCTGAGCCCTCGAGCGTGGGCTGTAGCTATGAAAGCCAAGCCAAGCAGAGGCACCCCAGCAGCACAGTGAACGTGGGGCTTCTCTGCCAGCAGCAAAGGACCTCAGCCTTTCCAAGCTGGTGTTTCTGGGCACTCAGGGTGGGACCCAAAGATGTTTTTATACCGAGAAGCACCTGCCGTGACAGGCGACGTGCAGATGCTTGAAGTGCCTCACAGGGGAGCAGCATTTCAGCTCCTCCATACCTAAAACTTCCAAGGGGCAAAATAAAACACTTTTTTTTTTTCTAGTCAGGAACCCTTCGGGGCATTGAACCGTCAGGTTATTTTACGCTTTGGGGCTACCGGGATGGAAACCCACGCCACTCACCTCCCCACAAACTCGGCTCCGTCTCCAGGCGGGTTAGCCAACTCTGCCGCATCATGCGAGAATTAGCTGGGGGGTAACTAATTGCTCTGAGGCTTTCCAGCCTGGAAAGCCGAGCCCCTGAGATGGCCGGAGGGGGCCGGACACAGGCTTTTGCAACGGGAATGGTGAGAGTTTTTAAAGAAAACAAACACCACAAAACAAAACCACCACAACAAAACAATAACAAACCCCTTCTAACGCTCCAGCCGTAACCGCACCGCGCCCTGCGGCGGGAAAACAGGGAGAGGGAGGAGGAGGAGGGAAGGGGTGTGTGTGTGGAAAGCGGCCGCGCACCGGAGCCGCTCCCCGCCGAACACCCGTGGAACAGAACAGGACCGGACCGGCCCCAACCGCCCCCCCCTCCTCCTCCTCCTTCTTCCCGGCCACGCGGCGGGACCGCGCGCC